GTCCGGTCATCGTGACCTACGTCCACTCCCGATTCCTCTTCACTAGAGGCTACCGACTTCCACTATCGATCTTCTTTCCAATGGGCTAAGATCAACTACCCTTATTCTCTTTCTCCTTTTCACAGATGTAGGAAAGAACCTTTACACCTATTTTTTACAAGTGTTCCCTCACACACCTCCCTTAGTACTATCATTAAGCTCTTAGAGGAGAGATTCTATACTTAAAAGTGTTCCCTCACACACCTAGTCTAGCGATACCACCGCCTGATACAGTCTTGAAGATTATGTGTAAATGGTACCACCGCCTAGTCTGGGCAGTATCACCCCCAGACCCTGCTATAGGATACTGAATGAGCCAAATAATAGGCCCAATTCAGCCCTGATTTAGGCTCAATTGGTCATAATTGAGTTCATATTTTTTCACAATTAGACCTAATTAACTCAATCTAGACACACACGATTACAAGCATGAATCCTATATTGTCCAACATGTGACTTAGTGCTTATGAAAAAATTACATCAATTCGAAAATATCGTTCGATAAAGCTCATATCAGAAAGATGAGTTTAACTTGAAAGCGCGTTCGTAAGCGTAGTGAAAGTAGTAAGTAAGTAAATCAGTTTACAATATGAGAATGAAAAGCATAATAAAAATGTAAACCGAGTACACCAGATTTATAGTGATTCGGTCGTTGTGACCTACGTCCACTCTCGATTCCTTTTCACTCAAGGCCATCAACTTTCACTATCGATCTTCTTTCCAATGGGCTAAGATCAACTACCCTTACACTCTTTCTCTTTTTCACAGGTTCAGGAGAGAACCTTTACACCTCTCTTTTGCAAGTGTTCCCTCACACACCTCTCTTAAGACTATCACTAAGCTCTTAGAGAGAGACCCTATACTTAAAAGAGTTTATAACCTTGGAATCACAGAGTTTTTGCTTTATTTTCATGTGTTTTCTAAGCGAGAATTTGTGAGGTATTTATAGACCCCAAATGACTTCAAAACTTTAAGCCAAAATTCAAATCCTCGGGTTTTAGGGGTACTAGCGGTACCACCGGTTGCCAGTCTGACACTAAGCGGTACCACTGCTTAACACACTGACATTGGGTGATACCATCGCTTAATATAGTTTGGGAGACCGTGTTTAGGTGGTACCACTGCCCAATCTAGCAATACCATCGTTTGATATAGTCTTGAAGACTATGTCTGGGCAGTACCACCACTAAACCCTACTATATGACACTGAATGGATCAAATAATAAGCCCAATTCAGCTCTAATTCAGGCCCAATTGGCCCCTAATTAAGTTGCCATTGTTTTATCCTAAAACTAACTCAATTAGACTTAACTAACTTGATCTAGACACACACGATTACAAACATGAATCCTATGTTGTCCGACATATTATTGGTTTATTCGGTGCTTCATCCGATCCTTTTGGCGCATCGCCCTCTCTTACGATGTATTACCTAATTGGCATGTTGACCTTTGTAATATCCGATCTCCTTGGCGTAATGTCCGATCATTCTGGCCTGATGCCCAAACTCATGGCACAAAGCCTTCTACCAATACGTCGGCCGATCCTCCGGCTCGACATCTAATCTTCTGACATTTTTCACTCCAGCCCAACGTTTGATTCCTCATGCTTTAATCGATTTACCTTTTCTAATCGAATTTAATCATACGTCACTCAAAACGTATATTAGATTATAAACTCATCAATTGATTTCATCATCAAAATCTAAGATTCAACATCATTTTGTTTCGCAAGTTAATAGGTTCCGAATTGGCCCCCTTTCCCACTATGTTATTATTGACAACATAAGTAAATATAAAGGTTGTATCCTATTCCAAATATGCATGTAGGATGAGAATAAAAGTAGGAATAGTATATTACAATATACGTCGGGGTTCCACCTTAGCAAAGGAGAGGAGCACACAAAGGGCACATAAGGTCACATCTCGATATTGGAATCAATTAGCTGGTATAGAATACAAAAGATCCAAAGGGATCGATCCCCTAAGCTTTCGCCTCTCGATATTAGAATCATTCGATGATAGTACTGACCCAAAGAAGCATATGGCTGCTTTTCATGCTTAAATGACCCTCTATAGCATGACAAATGCCCTAATGTGCTAGTCCTTCCCAACGATACTTTAAGGTGCTACATGAAAATGACAATCCCAAATGTAGCCTCTAGTAGTCACCATCTTTGCTTAGCTCACCAAGGAGGTCGAACAATATTTTTTCAAGAGCTACAAGCCCAAGCAAACCATGACAGCCTTACTCGCGATTGGGTGGAGGGAGCAAGAGACTCTAGGAACCTTTGTCTCCAAATTCACTACTAAGGCTAAAGGGATTATTGATATAGATCTCTCGATCCTTATCAAGCTTTCATGTTTGGCCTAAGGTCGTTTCTAATTTTTGAACTAACGGGATATTCAGATGTTGATTTTATAAATTACTTCGATAGTAGGAAGTTCATTTCAAGATTTATATTCATATTAGATGAAGAGATAATTTCTTGAAAAAATATAAAGTAATCGCTTATTGAATAATCGGCAATGGAAGCTGAATTTATGATATGCTTTGATACCACAAATCAATTTTTATGGTTATGAAATTTTATCTCATAACTTGGTATTATTGATACATTTGTTAGACTTAAAGATATTATGTTATAACACTATAATTTTTTTTTTCTGACAAGTACACTAGTGGTTCCAAGCACATCGAGATAAAATACTTGATGGTTAGAGAAATAGTCTAGAAACAATAAGTGTCAATTGATAGCCTAAGCACCACTTAGATGATTGCTAATCCATTTACTAAAGTTTTATACTATAAAGTATTTAAAGAAAATATTCTTAGAATGAGACTTCTAAGCAAGTCATAAAAGATATAGTGTTGATATTTTTATAATTAAAATTATTTTTTTCTATTATTCTGTTTATATTTATGTTTGTACATATTATAGTTGAGTGTGATAATAAGATTATCTTAACAAGATAAATTATAAGAGTCATTATGGATTATATTAGGAAAGATTAATAATATTATAGTATAAAGTATGGAGTATGACAATGATGACATATAACTATTATGACTTACATTACTAGTTAGACTATAGCATTATTGTACCTATTGGATTTATTGATTTGTTTTAAAATTCATGACAACATATAAAATATTTTTTTAAATTTTTAGAATCTAATTAGATAAAGTTATTTTAAATAAAATTTTATTTTATTTATTTTGATTAATTTTTTTTTTATCTTATTGGGTCAAGTGGAAGAATATTAGATCATATGACTATATCTAATTATGTAAGATATATTATAGATCTGATTAGATTTCTATGATATTTATTAACCAATAGAAAGAAAATTTTTATTGTAAGATTTTTTATGATATAACCTTGATAGGAGGGACTTTTCTAATTACCATTCTAAATCCTTTATTCTTATCTATAAAGGACAGAACCTATTGGGTACAATATAATCAGTTATTAAGATTACAAATCTATTCTCAATCTTCTTTAGGTCTAATCAATTACTCATATTAGTCCTACGAAGAATAGGAAGAGATAAGAAAATAAATCTAGTTTTCTTTATAAATCAGATATCATTATCGTTATGACTTTTAGATCCGATCATGATGTTTTTATAGATCATATAAAGAGTTTCTGAATGATATCAAAAGATATACATCCTAAATCTAATTTATCGTTATTTGATTTTAATTTTTGATATTAAATTTTTTTTATAATAATAATACAATATCAGGTTTTATGCTTATATCACAAACTTTTAATTATTAAAGAATTATTTTTATGTTCAAACACTAATCATTCGGATAAAAAAAATAGCATATCAATATATTAAGATTCATCCTCCAAAATATTATTAAAATAATACTTACAAAAGATATATACATATATATTGAAACATAAAAGTAAAATTAAAAATAACTGGTTGAATTAGTCATACCATACCTCCAACCAGAGATGGAGATGGTTCACAAACACACTCATTTAAGACAAAGTACCACAAAACAAGTAGTTGTGAAGAGCGCACACACACTCATTCAACTCCTGTCATCTCATCTCCTTCTTCAGCAACTATTATGGACATTGGGTGGACGCTGCTGTCTTCTTTATTCTTAGTTTTCAACAAAAGTATATGATCCAAGGCCTGCCTCCAAAAGGATTTATCTCTTAATGGTAATTGAAATCCTTAAAATCAAAGAATATTATGTACCACATGTTTGCATTATGTAAGGTTTATATATATATATATAATTAATTAATTTGCCTCTACTATGCCTATACGATTTGGGCTCCGTTCATACAGTACCATAGTTCACTTAAATAGTAATTTTCTCCTAATCAGAATAACATGCAGGAATCCTCATCCTCGGCCAGGAGGAGCCACCTGGCGACAAATGAGCGGCGCGCTGTAACCCAACGCCAGATGCGCCAGCTAATCGCCACCCAGGCAAGTCGCCGTTTTCCTAACCCCCAAACCACCGAAACAGCCACCAACCCGCGTTTCCCAAACCCCCGGTCCCACTCGCTCACCGTCAGTCCTCCCTCCTCTTCGCGGGTGCGATTCTCGTGTCACGACTCACCACTGCAGTGTCCCGTGACCACGGTCCGAAGTGAGAGCCCGAGCCCCGATGGCTATATTCCCATCGGACGGCCAGAAATCGAGATTCTGCCTCTTATCACCGTCCTCTCCTCCGTTGGCCGCACGCTCTCCGACACGGTTTCACCGCACGAGCCCGATGTCCGCGGTGCTGGGGCGTGCATACCGACACCCCACGCTGCACCAGCCTCACACCGGATCATCATCACCACGTGGCGCCATTCTGGCCCTCCGATCAGCGGCGCACGAGTTGGGACTCCCTGGTCCCGTGTGCCGTCGCCCCACCGGAATATTCTATACCAGCGCAAGAAGTCAAAGTCGCTCTCTTCGAAACGATTAAGGCACGCGAAAGAGACCATAGCAGCAGCAGCTGAAGCCGCCTTCCGCGACCACGAAACACACAACTCGCCCTATCGGAGCGGAGACCGTGGAACCCTATCGCTTCCCCATGGACGGATCTGGAGGAGGAGCGGCGGCGGAGGGGGACCTGGAGGCGGCGGAGAAGCTGATCATGCGGTGGGACTCGACCGCGTCTTCCGCCGCGGACGAGCGGATGATTTTCGACGGCGCGGACCGTTCCGACGCCGAGAGGTACCTCCGCGCCGTCGATGAGCTCCGACGCTCCATCAAGGACCCGGTCATCGTCGGAAGCCCCCGGAGATCGTCCTCCTCCTCGTCGCACTCCTCCTCGGAGAACGCGATCCAAATCGCCATGGCGCGGCTGGAGGACGAGTTCCGCAACCTGCTGCTGACCCGGGCCAACGAGGTCGAGGTCGACGCGCTCGTCGATCTGAGCTCGCTCTCGTTGAATAGCTCGGCTTCCATGGACGGGTACGGCGATCTGTCTGACGCCGAGGGCGGCGGCGGCGGAGACGGTGGTGGAGAGGGAGAGGCCTTTTCGTCAGATTCGGTGGGGGCGAGCAGCAGCATACGGCGGAGCAGCATACGGTCGACGAGGAGCATCCGGGAGATCGATCTGCTGCCGGCTGACGCGGTCGATGACCTCCGGAGCATCGCGGAGCGGATGATCGCCGCCGGGTACGGCCGGGAGTGCGTCCAGGTGTACGCCGGCGCCCGGAAGGCGGCGGTGGACGTGTGCTTCCGGAATCTCGGCGTGGAGAAGCTCAGCATCGGTGAGGTCCAGCGTCTCGAGTGGGACGCCCTTGAGGCCAAGATACGGCGCTGGATTCGCGCCGCCCGGGTCTGTGTCCGGATCATCTTCGCCAGCGAACGCCGCCTCTGCGAGCACATCTTTGAGGGCCTTGGCATCGCCGATGACGCCCCTTTCATTGAGACTGTCAAGGGCGCGTCCATCCAGCTCTTTGGATTCGCCGAGGCCATCAGCATCGGTCGCCGGTCACCGGAGAAGCTCTTCAAGATCCTCGACCTCCACGACACCATCTCTGACCTCCTCCCGGACATCGCCGTCGTGTTCCTATCCAAGTCTGCCGAGTCCATCTACACCCAGGCCACTGAGATCCTCTCCCGGCTCGCGGAGGCCGTCCGTGGCATCCTCTCCGAGTTTGAGAACGCAGTATTTCGAGATCCACCCAAGACACCGGTGCCTGGCGGCACAATCCATCCCCTTACTCGCTACGTGATGAACTACATCAGCCTCATCTCAGATTACAAGCCGACGCTCATCGAGCTCATAGTTACAAGGCCATCTGCGAGCTCCCGGTTCTCTGGTGATGATCTCGCAGCTGCTGGTGCTGCGGTGCCAGAGCTTGATTTCCCGGTGTCCGAGAACCAGACTCCCCTCGCCGCCCACCTGATCTGGATCATAGTTGTTCTTGAGCACAATCTCGAGAACAAGGCGAACCTTTACAAGGATAATGCCCTCTCCCACCTATTCTTAATGAACAACGTCCACTATATCGTCCACAAGGTGAAGGACTCACCTGAGCTCCGGGAAATGATTGGTGATGACTACTTAAGAAAGCTCACCGGGAAATTCCGGCTGTCTGCGACGAGCTACCAGAGGGCCACGTGGATGAGAATCCTTCACTGCTTGAGAGATGAGGGGATTCATGTTAGTGGAAGCTTCTCATCAGGCGTCTCTAAGTCCACTTTGCGGGAGAGGTTCAAAGCTTTCAATGCTGCTTTCGATGAGGCTCATAAAACCCAAGCGACTTGGTATGTGCCAGACACCCAGCTGAGAGAGGAGTTGAGGATTTCAATCTCGGAGAAGTTGTTGCCAGCATACCGGTCTTTTCTTGGCCGGTTCCGGCTACATATAGAGAATGGGAGACACCCCGAGATGTACATTAAGTACTCGGTTGAGGACCTTGAGATTTCTCTGTCTGATTTTTTCGAAGGGTGTGCTCCTTCTCTACACAACAGAAGAAGGTCTCATTAAAATCACATGATGCTTTCAGGACAGGAGACTGATGATTGTGTAAGCTGATATTCTTTAAATTCTTAAAAGAGGGAAGCAATAAGGAGACAAGTTTTAGCAGCACTGATCTTTGGATTATTCAAGAACTTAGTGTTATTGATGGAGAGTTCAGAGACCCCACATAATATCTGTATCTGATATGAAGATCTTGTTGGAGGACTCAAATAACCCATGGTTATAGTTTCCCTCTGTAAGCAAATTTGTTTCTTTTTTTTTCACGGGTATCTGTTAAGCATGTTCATAAAGTGTCTACTATTAGTGTCCTTTGGAGAACTATTATCATAACTTTTTTGGGCCTATGATTTTTTTCTTCTCATTTTTGCTGGTTGTGGGTGCTTATTTTGATGTGTCATATGATGTCATTTTTTAGGTAATATAAATTGTATTACAATTCCATTTCACAGAGATTGCCAGCTATTTGTTCTCCCTCTTTTGATTTTAAATCCCTCTTAAGATATTATTGCAAATGAATGAAAACAATAATTGTCAACTGGAGAAAACTAGCTGGGCAGCATGCACTCTTACTCTTTTGGAATTCAATCACACTCCAATGACATTGAGAACATGTTGTAGTTTGACATGTGTGATCTTGATGTTGAATATATATGTATATATATGTATATATATATATATATATATATATATATATATATATATATATATATATATATGTATATGTATATGTATGTATATATATATATATATATATATATATATATATATATATATATATATGTATATGTATATGTATGTATATATATATATATCTATATGTATATGTATGTATATGTATGTATATGTATATGTATGTATATGTATGTATGTATATATATATGTATATATATTCAAAGGGTAAGTGGCGAAGGGTGGATTTGAACCTAGGATCTTATGATATATTGTCAAAGTCTTTATCAGTTAGGCTGGCCGACACCTTATTAAGTGTGTCAGTTGAGATTTCGAACCCTCAACCTTTGGTAAGAGGGCCTGGCACAAACATTTTTATATTTTGGGCTGTGGCATGCCAGCTCTTTTGGTCTGAAGAGAACATATCAGTTTGCTGCAACCATACCCTGATTAACATGCAGGTGAGAATATCTTATCCATATTTGTAGGCTCATGCTTATCTCACTTGGGCATAGTTCATAGCATGCCATTGATTTTCTAGCATCAGCTAATAAAATATGGATTGGTTTCTAAACATGATTTGTTAGGTTGCTCTTTCTTTGCTAAATTGTCAGTGAACTCCATCCTTGTTCATCTAAGACATCCACCTGGATACATTGTACAGTCTGCTAAATTGTCAGTGAACTCAATCCTTGTTCATCTGAGAAAGACATCCACCTGGATACATTGTACAGTCTCATAGGTCCACATAACATGCTACACAAGTTTCTGCCTAGGGTAAAAGAAAAAAAAAGATGCATTGACCAGGGGTTCTATAATTGCTCGTACAAAACACCTCATAATTGTAGAAATCTGCTTGCACCAATGAAGTATGAATGGTCTGCTTTTATTTTTCATAGGTGAAATTGTTTCTTGCCTTCTCCATACAACCTTAGTGAGATACTTTAGGAAATCAGGGAAATAAAAAAGCCTAATTAAATTTAACATAGGAAACTGATTGCTGATTGGTAAAACTTTGGCATCATAAAATTCTCTTATGAAGTGTGGAAAGATTCTAGGATTAAAGAACTTTTACTTATTGCCATAAAATTAACAATGAATTCTTAATGTTGTATGTATTATTGACCTTATTTAAGTAAAATTTCTCCAAAGTTTATATGTTACTCTATTGCACATCATACTTTTTATGATATATTTAGGAAGCAATAATGGCTGTTAGGACTTGCATTCCATCAGACAGCTTGGTTTCAATGGCTACCATACCAGTGGATTAATGCAGCATTTCAGAGGGAATTACAAGCTAATGCTTCTTATTATCTAAAAACATATTTGTCTGGTGAGGATTGTCAGACCTGAAGCTTGTGACGAGCAGAAAATCTCCAACTACTTGAGTCAACTACATGGATTTTTTCTTTCATGTGATCTGGTCAAACACCTAAATCTTAATATTGTTTTGGAATATGGGTTATGACTAATGGATCATTTGCAAATCTATGTAATAGTAAGTATTTCAAGGCAAATTTACTGTTCATATTCTTTAGTGGTCGGCCTTCTTGGAAAGAGAATGGAGGCAGGGAAATGACAAGGGTCAAATAATATAATGAAGAAAAGTTGTCTCCCATTTACTTTGTGTGCACCCACGTATTTGTTGTTGTAATATAATTATGTCTTGTTTATTGGTGTTCTTGAATGATCAGATTATTTGACCCTTTAATTTGGTTTATATGGATTATTTGTTTGCTCATAAGTAATGATATGCATAATTTTGCTATAAGTAATGTTATGCATACTTTCATTCTTTGCAATCTTAAACCTTCTATCAAAAGATTTCTTCACTTGTTGATCTACCTTTTGTATATGTATGTAGGGTAAAATGCAGGGAAATTCTTTGATCTTTGACTTTTTTTTTTTTTGCAGAGGGCCACCTCTATGACCCTACTGGTCTTGAAACTTTCAATAAATGTCCTATTTGCTGCAACTGTCTACTCCCATCATTAAATGCTGATATGGCATCATGTTGCTACTGTGGTTGACATCAAAGGATAAAAAGTCATTATTAGAAGAGTAATGAATGGTCATAGTTCATGGATTAGTTGGTGATGATGTGGCAGCCATGTGCTTCCCACACAATCCATATGTGGTAGTTGATGCCTTGATGGCCCCACCGAAGGTTGAAATATCAATTTTGTGGGCCAGAAGTGCTTATGTGATGATGCATCGGAGCCACACCACTACCAGATCAGTGCCAGCTTATCAATGAATCCCAGTGACACTTTGTTGAGTGGATGACATATAAGTGAGACACATGATGGTGAATTGGTGTAGTAGCCCATGTGGCTTCTCATGTGGCATATGGTGTCAGTGGCCCTACAAAAGATAGAAAATAATATTTTCCCTACCAAGTAGTCTCCACTTGGGTGACAGAGGTGCCATGTCTCTATCACATAGATTACATGTGTCCCTAAGTTGGTCCTGATGTTTAGCACATGTGGCACTCTAAATGGAGCATACATGGCTCTTGGTGGCCCAGCAAGCGTTGAAAATGCAAGTTTTTGTATCAAGTGGCATCCACTAGAATGACACATAGGTGTGTCTTAGCTATTGTAGCAGTATTTGCCCCATGTCAACACAATATACCGGGGATCTTCAACAACCAACAAGGCAACAATTGCACACATCAGTCTGACTATCAACTGTTACTGGGTCAAATAATTGCAATAAACGGAACACCTATTGCAAGATTTAGTGCCTACAGGATTAAGTTCAAGTAAAAAGGTCTCTTTGTAAGAAGTTCACAGTTAAAGGGTTGTCCAGTATACTCTATTTATAGGTGTATGTATATATCTACATATAGAGGAGTTAAAGTTACTCCTCCAGACCATTGAAAAGACTGAAAATCCCTCTGGAAAGAAGGTGAATCAAACGTAATAGTGTTTTGATCTTTTTTAGAATATTTATTGATAATGATGTATATGCATATGTATATATAGTGATTCAAAGAGTAAAAGAAACTTGAGAAGAAAGGGTGGGCACATAGCATAAAACTTCTTTCACTTATCACCCTGACCTCATCTTTAAGGACATGGATGTATTTGGAAAAAGAATTGAATGAAAAATGCAGAAAAAATGCAGGGTTTTATACCTTGATTGCAGAATCTTTTCCTCAGATTGATTATTAGGCTGAAGGGCTTGTAGAAAACTAGAGTTACTACCAGTACCATGGTACCAGCAAGCTGTTAATTTGCAGGCAATGAATGCTGGGCCAAGACAACAATTTATTTACTCTTTGCATCTTCTACAATCATGTGCAGCCCATTAGTGAAATGGCAATATGATTGTTGAAGATAATTTAGTTAGTCTGCTAACAAGGAGCTTAAGCTAGAGGGAACATATCTTAAATTTTGTTCATCACAATGTATCATAATAGAGAAGAAACCTAGTTAAGTGCAAGGACTAATATCAGTTAAAACTGTAAAGTTTGTTGTTGCATTTATGCCACATTCACTAAGCCAAACTCTAACTTTATGTTCTTGTTTTGTTTAGGATTGGAGTCATCATCTGAATCCTTTTTTTTCATTGGCTTGGATTTTATCATTAAAATACCTAATGTCTCTTACACATTATTTATGTTTGAATGAGCTGAATCTGTATGCAATTTATGATTTCACATTTCACTAAGCCAAACTCTAACTTTATGTTCTTTGTTTTGTTAAGGATTGGAGTCATCATCTGAATCCTTTTTGCCCACTGGCTTGGATGTTATCATTAAAATAGCTAATGTCTCTTACACATTATTTATGTTTAATGAGCTGAATCGGTTCATAATTTATGATTTCAGCTTCAGCAAAATTCTACACAGCCCTCTTTACCTTTATTTGTACCATTTTAAGACCAAGATTCCTTGCATTTATGAATCTTTCTGATTAATTTGCATCTTAAATTCATCTCGGTTGGAAATGAGATTGGGCTGTCATTTTTTCAACTGTAGATAAATCTCATGGTCTTTTTTGGTTCAAAATAGATGCTGCTTTTCATTTAGTAATTCTGATAAGTCTTTTTTAATCAGGATGCCCCATGTAGTAAAGTAGAGGATGCCCCAAGCTTTATTCTTGCGTCAACAGAGATCAGCTATTGTCTTTGTACACGAAATCACCAGTAAAGGTCTTGCCAATGCTGTAAATGTATCTCTAGCATTAATTTCCCTTTATATTTTAACTGAGAGAGTAACTTTCTACATTTTTTGTGTTTTGTTATTTATCAGAAACACGATGTTAGGCATTGAAAAGCTATTGTTGGATTGATGTGGCCATTGGCTTCATTAACTTCTGTACATTCTGTAGTGTTCTCTTATGGTTGTTCCTTTACTACATATTAGGATAGATAAACATAAATCAGGTTTTCTTTGTCTTTCGGTTTTCCTTTCTCTTTCCCCTGTATCATGTTCACATGATGCACTGTCCAGATTTTACACGGCCTACACAATAATTCCTATCAGTATGACACTGCTTTCATCTTTTTCTGAATTATCTACTAATTTATCTGCAGTTCTTGATCTTGAGTGTTTAATGACATCCATTTATAGGAGTCCATAATAAGCATACAAGAAGGCATTTCTACTGATGCAATTTGTTTCTAGTAACAGCCAAAGAAGATTAATTTATAGCTTCAAAATTTCATAACCAAGTTTGATATATCCTTGGTAATACAGACTGGTCTATTATGAAATATGTGACTACAATTTTAATCAAGGTTCTAAATTTCATATGGAACCGCCCATATCGGGCGGTATGTATCGGTCTGTCAGCAAATCGGTACCCGGACCACCTGCTACCGGGCGGAATGCTTGATATAGCCCTGTATCGGGCAGCAACGTTATTGCCTGAAACAGGTCGGTAACGATCGATTTCGACTGTGACCGCCCGCTACCGAGCGGTATCAGCTTAGCTGCGGCGAGGGAAGAAGAAGCATCGAGGGAGAAGGAAGAAGAAAGAGAGAGTGTTCGAAGAAGAGGGAGAATCAGGAGAGCCTCGATGCGTCGATCCGACGTCGCCCTCCCTCGACGATCCCGATCTAGGAGGTAATGGCCAAGCGGTGGCTAGAGCAGCGGAAGAGGTGGTCTCCTTCATTGCCTCGTCTGCGATTTTACGGCTTCTTCGTCGCGTTGTCACGGACTTAGCTGGTTTTGCCTAAGTCGTGCGGCACCCTTGCATGTCCGTCCGCAAAGGTTAGCCTCCCCGAAACCTCCCATGGTCCCTTAGGACCTACAAAAGAGAAAACGGGTTAGAGAAAGCGCCTCACTCGGGATCCACAAGCAAACATTTCCGAAAACACTTCATAACCAATGCAAATTACAAACACTTTACAAGCTCTGAATGGTTGCACAACAAAGGGTCAAAATGGTCCATTACAGACCGAATTCTCTCACAAGTGTCCACATGACACAACCTTTATTTACAAGCCTAAAACGACCACCAAACCTAACTAAAATAGGGCTGTTATGCCTTCGACCGTCCCTCTACATACTGTGTAAAGCATGAACAAACCAAGAGATACGGACATACATAAGCATTACATCAAACATCCTGTTTAGAATTTTGTCCGTTACATTCTCCCCCACTTATTCAATCGACGTCCTCGTCGAAGCCTTTGTCGACACTGCAACTCCTCGCCTTTGCTAAGTCTTCAATCTTTTGCTCCAGCTGCAATGCGCCTCTTGGCTCCTAGCTGCTCTCTGCTGCTGTTGTTGAGTAGTCGAACTTTTGATCCGCCACGTTGCTTCAACTCGCCAATGACTCTGACTCTAGTGTGGGGTTGGCTGAGTTGTGTTGGTCCCTGTTGGTTCCTACGGATCATTTAGATGAAGGAAAAAACCATCCTTACTATGTGCCAGTCTCTCAAATGCCTCATGCTGCTTGAACTAGGTGGATGCTTGTTGGAGCTTTAACGAGCATCGCCTCGTAAACTTTTGAAGTTTTGGGTCATTCCTCCACAAAATTTTCCCATCGACTCTTCTTTCATTTAGTTGTCACTTCCAAGTATATTCGCATCACTTCCGCTTTCGATTGTCATTCTATTGGGAAATGAAGCGGATAATCTACTCTCAGTAGCTCTGATCACCATTGGTGAGGATTTGACAACTATTGTCTTCCATTATCTTCGAAGGGTGTTTGAACCTGTGCAGAGCTCCTCTGCTGGATAGATAAGAGAATTGGGGTACTCGGTTTCGCCCATTCTCTTAAGAGTTGAGAAGGCAATGGTTACTTGACTTCGCCCGCTTCCTCAAGGGTTGTACTCCATGCATCGAGCTGGTTACTGACCTTCGCCTGCTCTTTGCTCACACTTCTGAAGCACTCGAAGTGTTTGCACTCCTTGCATTGAGTTAGCTACTGTGATTCACCTTCTCAATGCCATCGAACTTTTGGAATGCAAGAAGTTTTCGCCCCACCTTGGAGTAAGTCTCTAATAGTTTTGGTCGCCTCTGGGAATGTACCGTCTTTTCCATTAACTCTGTTGCCTACTCCACATAGTAGCAAAGGTACAGTACCGTGTACTGCCTGCTTCGTTCCTTGGTCGTGCACTCTTGCACGACCTGAAGTCCTTCACTTTCAGCTATCTTGATGAGAAGCTCGTTGACACCGGTTTTACGAAGTTTCTTAGCCTCTGCCCTTCAGTCTTGTCTCGGTACTTGGAGTTTGCCTCTGCATACTCCACCTCGGCTCCTTTCACGACCAAACACTCTCCCTCCATGAGAGCAAGGGATCAATGACTTTCCCGGAAGTCCCGCCTCTGCGGTACCATGGCCCTACCATCCGTCGCCTCGCATTTGCATCCCTTTTCTTCACGATCAGTAGATATGTCTCTGTGGCACTCCTCCGAGTCCACCTCCATTCTAACTGATGCTTGATTTTGGGTAGCTAAGTCCCTCTAGACTCATCGTCGCTTCCTCGTCCCTTTCGACCCCTTGCTTCAACACCTCTGTGTTCTCCAAGCAGCTCCCTTTGGTCGATGGAAAGACAGACTGCAACTCACATGCATGGCCTCTGTCATTATGTTGTAGGGTTTGCACTGATTCTGTTCTCCTTAGCTTCCTTGGTAGCAACGTTCGCTTACTCGACCTTGTCCTCTGACTTGCTGGGCTCCCTTAAGCGAATATGGGCTTTGGAGCTGTCCAACTCTCCAACTGCTTCGATCATACCTCTGCATGATCAAGTCTCTCCTATGGGACTCACTGGGACTTGCATTTAAACTTTTTCTTCGGTGGTACACAACCCCATATGTTGATGACCAAGGCTTTCATCCGATGCAAAATTCGATGTACGCACGGAAGACCCACCTCCGCGGTACCATGATATAGTCCCTCACGGGGCTACAATCTGTGTGTATCGCATTGCCACGAACTATTCCACCATGATCCGCTGCACTACTGTCACCTCCTGGTGATATCTCAATTGCATTCTGATCATTGTGGGATGAACTCGGATTGTGATCCCTCCATATGTGGCTTTTGCCAACATATTGTAGGACCTCTTCCACTTTTGATTGTGTTCGCTCCTTTGGCAATAGACCTTTATCCACCCGCTCTTGGGTCACACATAGATGAAGCACCGCTCTAGGACGATCCGTCGCCTAGTAGCTCCCGAAGTCCACCGACTTCGTTGAAAATGATGCACCATTGTATGGATCCTGGGCCTCTGCCCCTACCAGCACAATCTCTGCTGTGCACTGCTTCCTTCATGACAACTAGAATGGTAACACTGTGGCATATTCTTCAAGAGTACCTGCCTCCGCGTCCTCTTGCCCCGTGCCAAGGCCTTCTGAATTCAACTTCGCCTCCGCAAGTTGAGTCGCTTTAGTTCCTTTATCAAAATGCTTCTCCGAGATAAGGTGCATGTGCCCAGAAGCTCCCTTAGTCTTTGGCACCATGCAAGATAACTCCGCTCCATTAGAATGAAGGACCCATGGAACGACATGATCTCGCTTTTGCCTCTGCAAGAGTTCATGTTCTCGATCTCTGTCTAAGGAAAGCTCTGTGCCTCCGCTCCATGTTCCATCTTTTATGCTGGCTCCCTTTATGCGGCTTGGGTACTTTGCCAAGTTACACCCAAGTTGCTTCGCTCCTCGTTTTGCATTGAGTTGATGGTGGCCCTCATGCCCACCATTCCACGGGTCAGCCCTCCATTGAGTCCGATCTCTATATCGACTCTAAGTGTGCCTTCATTTGTGTTGTTTTGGGTCGCTCCCTCACTTGATCTCACAATGCATTCTCTCAAGCGAGATCATGCGACGACTCCTCGCCACTCACTCGGTCCATTGAGCTTCGTGGAGTTATTGTTTTTGAGGTACTCCTCAACATGTGCGGTCCGTTGCACGTGATTCTCCCTCTAGAGAGCCGGGACTTATCCTTCCTGGGTATTTATCTCGTTGGAGCAATATCTCTTTTCGTTTCCTTCCCTCTGAATACTTCGGAGACCACCATCCCCTTGGACTACTCTGACTTACTAAACAAACTGTGCATTGTTTTGCCTCCTACAAACGCACTTGCTAGATTGTGACTCCACGTTAATACAACCCCCGCTGCACCACTCAAGGTCTAGCAACATACTGAACTCGCTGCACACTTCAGCCTCCTATGGACGTATCCTTCTCATGCCGAAGAGAAAGTCTCAATGCTTCATGGCACCGAGTTTCGATCGCCTTGGGATGGTCACGAACATTCCATCGTCTGCATACAAGCCCTTGCATGAGTACCGAATTCTTTGAGTTAGCAATTCCCTTCACATCTGTGAGTTTTGCACAACTCTTTCGATCGCTGAGCAACCCATTCCACCTTGCATGGTCGCATCCTTTACCAAGCGCCTCGTTTGCCTTAAGCAACATCAAGTATTGTTGTCAACGTCGACCCGTAGCTCGAACTCAGCCATCCCAACCTTTGTACGCTACGCATTCTTCCAAGCTTGCTTGTTCTCGTTGTGCCTCTTGCGTAAAGGGTTGGTCATTCTTCTGAATGCCAATCTCAAATGTCCGCTCCTCTCAGCGACTCCTTTTCCCTACATCTCTATGCCTGTTTTCCCCCAAACGATCGCGCATGCTGGCTACCCTCAACGCAGTTCCGCTAGGTCCCCCACGTTTGCATGCCAAGTGTTTTTATGAGTGCTTGTCCCGCTCTGATACCATCTGTCACGGACTTAGCTGGTTTTGCCTAAGTCGTGCGGCACCCTTGTGTGTCCGTCCGCAAAGGTCAGCCTCCCCGAAACCTCCTATGGTCCCTTAAGACCGACAAAAGAGAAAACGAGTTAGAGAAAGCGCCTCACTCGGGATCCACAAGCAAACTTTTCCGAAAACACTTCATAACCAATGCAAATTACAAACACTTTATAAGGGTCAAAATGGTCCACTACAGATCGAATTCTCTCACAAGTCTCCACATGACACAACCTTTATTTACAAGCCTAAAATGATCACCAAACCCAACTAAAATAGGGCTGTTAAGCCTTCGACCGTCCCTATACATGTTGTGCAAAGCATGAACAAACCAAGAGATACGGACATACATAAGCATTACATCAAACATCCTGTTTAGAATTTTGTCCGTGACAGCGTTCTTCGCTGAAAGCCGGAGACATTTGTAGCCTTCGCTACGTTCTTTACCGAAGGCTGGAGACGTCTTCGTCGAACGTCATAGATGAGGAGATGAAGGAGACCGCATTCTTCTCCTAGTCTAAGGCGACGAGGAGAAGAGGAGGCGCCGTCACCGAGGCAGCGTACGCCTCCTTTATATATATATATATATATATATATATATATATATATATGCCTTGGCATGTTGCTTGGTATTCCTGTATCATACCATACCGAGCAAAGCTCGATACATTGGTACGGTACGAAATTTCAATCCTTAGTTTTAATCACCATCACAAGCATGTCTTCTATGTGTTGTCAAATGACTAACAGTACAATTGTATGTTCCATTACATGATTAAAATCATTTGCAACTGATATAAAATATTTTCAGCAAGATACCCCTAGTCCTTTTTCTATGACAGTAATACAACACAGAAACTCTTTTCCCCCGTAATCAACACTAGCAGATTGCTAGTGACTGGGGATAAAATAAGCAATATATATCTTTGATTAGATAAATAGCTCAGTTCGTATATGATTTATCAAGTCTCTTTTCTTATTGCACTTGGTCTTGTTTCTATTTACTAGGGGCTCTCTAGATAAACTACTGTGGTATTTGTGGACCGATCATATATTGGAAAAATAGAAGTTTTCTGTTGATCAAATTATTGCACCTGATAGATCCTGTCAAATATATGCATAGGGAGATCATGGGGAGTGTAATTTGTGAGGATGTTGGGTTTTGTTTCTCTTCGCTATTTTTGTTTGAAATATTGGAAGTTACTCAGATTTGACTCTGTTTCATGCTTCTTTGTAATCTGTGTATGGTTTTGTAAATTTGTGGTTGCTGAAGCTCTATGCAGAGAGATGAGGGGTTTGGAGTTAAACCCTAGGATTATATCCAGTTTGTAGGTAGTTTCCATTAATCCTAATTTCTCAGTTTGGTAGTGGCTTTGAATCAGGTTTGAGCTCATGTAAGATGATCACTGTGCCTTGAAATGCTTGGAAATCATGTGAGCTCATGCTGTGGAATGTCGGAGTGCAGGAGATGATGGGACATGCTTCCGCTGATGGCAAGGAATTGCTGATGAGCTTATCAGGCCTCGGAGCTCAAAGTTCATTGTCGCAGGTAGTGGTTGAGTGGAGGTATGTTAAGCTCTAAGCTTCTTTTAAGTTTCATTATTTATGGAAGTGATTTTGATACACAACAGCACATCTGGATGTGAACTTTAAGTGTACTTCATGTTCAATTATTGTTGACTGTGGATGTGAACAAGTTCAGATTTCTGAGATGTAAGTTACAATTGACATAAGAAAATTACATGCACCATAACAAGATGATGACTATGTATTACTAGGATGTAACAGAAGCACCCATTGTTCTGCACACTGATTACAGGATCTCAACAATGTCTGGTGATGCATCCAGGGAACTTTCCTGAGAGCAATCTTTTCTTTTGATTCAGTGAGTGCTGATGAAGTTGTCATTCTCCCAATTTTTGCTGATGATTCGCCTTTTATTCCAGGTAATAAACATACAAATTTCAACTCTCATCTCGAAGCCCCATTTTCTGGACTTGGGAAATTTTTTTTACAATTGCAATGCTCTGGAATCAGGACAAGCTTTGAAGTACCTGCATATTTCCCTCAAATGCAAGTGAACTTGTTGATGTGTTCTTCCTTTTCTAAATAAACACAACAAATGATGCACTAGATCAGGCCAAATCGAGATAAACTCTATTAACAACAACGTTGAATGAATGCTATTATGATGGAAACTTATTTTGAGATGTTGGTTGTTCTGCTTCTTCGTCTTTTCACTTCTCGGGATTAACCAAAAGCTACAAACCAAATTATTCTAAACATCTCTGGATATTTGCAATGGGTCATGATATGATTTGTTCTATATGCGTTGGCAAACATAACAATGTACTACTTACATGGCCCGAATCAAACTTCCTCTGCTGTCTTCATTTCTGGAACAATATCTGAAGATAAAAAAAGCAATCAAGACCAACGAAATCTTCTAGAAGAGCAGGAAGCAGGTGCTAACTAGATACTTATATTCTGAATCTGTTCTGACCCATTGACCCCCATTCTCTCTTCTATGCATCTCATCCTTGAAGCATGTTCTCTTTCAGATTGCTCTCTATGCACTTTTTTGCCTGTATTGGAGCTGAATGCTGAGGAGATACTTTCTTCTTAAGTATAGCCTTGAAAAATTATGGTAGAATCAAATAAAATAGAACTATTTCTCAGATTTTGAACTTTAAGTGTATTTTCTATCATGTTTTTGTATGCTCTGAAGTGTAATACTTTCTCCATTCTTGATTCAGGTACCAGATCATTCAATTTAGGAGTGGGTGCAAAGCCACTCGAGCAGACAAACATTTGAGGAGAAATGAGATCGACTTCTGCTTGATCATATCACAATTATCCGAGAACAAATCTTCTTGAGGAGAAATGAGATTGACTTCTGCTTGATCATATCACAATTATCTGAGAACAAGTGTTTCACCCTGCTTAAGATGATCTTCATATTCAGTGACAATTCAGCCTTTTCCCACTTAGTCTGAATCATCCAAGCCAGAAGGGTGATTAAGGAATCCGATGTCGTGTTTAGTCCTCGATGCCAATAACTTAAATAGCTCCTGCAGCTTGATCACCTCTTCAGGTGTGAAGCCCATCAGATTTTGCAAGGAACAAATGTTCTTTGATGAATCACTACTCTGTTCACCTTCCTTCGGTTCGTCGTTACTGTTTGTCCCGATTGCAAGTAATATTTGAAGTGAGTCACTGATTTCTTTGTGAAGTTTAGGAGAACTGGTATCTGAAGGAGGACAAAAGAATAAATAAATAATCGACACATATTAATTAGATTAGAAACAAAAAGGAGAGGAAAAAAGGGTTTGGACTGTGTCAAGTTATCAAACGATTCACACTATAAATTAGTAGAGTCTATACAAGTCCATGGTCCTTTGAAATGTGAGTTTCATCTAGTTCTATGATTTGCATGCCATGGCTGGGAGGACTACAATTGCATTACATATTCATTGTACCTTGGAAGTTTCCATGTGAGTTATATCTGGTTCTATGATTTGCATTCCATGGCTGGGCGGATTACACTTGCATTACATATTCATTTTGCCTTGGAAGTTTCCATCTCAGTTATCCATTTAATTATGATGATAAATTTTGTTATATCTTTTTTATCATAACATTCATGTCTTATAGATTAATCCTATCCAATATAACAGAGTGAAATGTGTAAAGCTCAATGAAGTTTTCTCTTGTTTTTCTTACTAGTCATAGTGTCCTACAAGCCAATCACGTGAGTGACGATACATGTGACTTGACACGCAGTCTTTTTATTTACTATTATTATTTAATATTTTATCACTTTATATTATTTATCGCTTTAATATATTGTGATGCCTATGGATCTATGCAATGAGAATCGGATCGTGATGAGATCACGAAAATGAGACCAATTCGTATTTAAACATAAATCATAACTAATCTTGGTCATAGATTACTCGAGAGGAATATCGAGATAATCGGATAAATTGGTGTGCTGTATATCTATCCATATAATAAATGCAGTTGGTCTCATAGTTGCTTGTGTGCGGACACTAGGGATACGGTACAAGTGCTCATTAGGGAATGAGTTCATTGATTGATCCGCTTAAAGGAGTTTTGACAGATGTGATTCACGGCCAGCTCGATATTGATCCTAGAGGGTTACACACATATAGTAGACATTGCGATGAGTAGAGGTTCAGAAATGAGATATCCGTCAGAGCCCTCTATCTTATTTGATATTTAATAAGCCCATGAATCATTGAATCTTATGTATGAGATCCAATAAGAGCCAATGAGAGATTATTGGATAAAAATCCACTAATCTAAGAGGCTTAGGTAGTTGGATGTATATCCAATACCTAATGGGGCAGGATCCATTAGGGTTAAGTTGGTAGGAGACCTCTATAAATAAGAGGGAACCAATGGTTCAAAGGTTAGAGTTTCTCTTGGTTGTCACCTCCTATTCTCCTCTCCCCCTCTCCTCCTCAGATAGTAGGCTTGGTGTTTTGAGGAGCATCATCACAGCTCTACTGTGTGGATCACTGCTATAAAGGGGGACACTTGACCTCCTTCACCCTCTCCTACAGATCTATAGGGATTCAGGGATATACGATCTCCCTAAATAACATAATATTTCATATATGCAGTTTTAAGTTTTGTAGATTTTGAGCACCAATCTTCGCACGATGACAAACACAACGATGGGAAATTTGGAGATTTTATTTTTATGTTCTTCCGCTGCGCATGTGATGTCGCCCCTCATATTTCCCTACAATGGTATCAAAGTCAGGTTGTTCGTGCGAAAGATTAGTTTTGAATTATATGTGTTGTGTTTTGGAGAATCTTTTGATATCAAAATCGTTGACGCAAAAAACAAGAAAGGGCAACAACTATTGCTACCCTCGTAGATGGCATCTTACTGCCATCTACATGCATGTAGTCGCTTGCAGCGGTGGTCGCAGGTAGGCACACAACGCCGGCACACGCGTATTTATGAAATTTCAGTTCTATCGTTTTATCTAAATTACCAAAATATCCCTCATAATTTAATTTTTTTACATATCCCTGATTTTAGAAAATATTAATTAATTAAAAATTTTAATTAATTAATTAATAATATTATTATCTAGTAGTCCTAAATGATGATGATGTGTACATGTGATGTATGATGTGGACGGATGATCATGGATCGTGTGATGTGTGTGTGTATTTGTAATTATTATTATTGGGGCTTGTGAGCCTCCATTTTATTTCTCATTTATTGTTGGGCCTGAGTGCTTATAATTAAGTTGTAATCACACGAGGAGGCATAGTAAGAGTGTGAAAGCGATAGCAGGACCCACGAGACGGAAGATCGTGATGCATGGAGATGTGTCGAGATGCCGACAGAATTGACGAGGATGAGATGAATAATCACAGGGCATAGAGATGCGCCACTACATACATAGATCTCGATGTGAGTGATTAGACCCACTAACTTGGGCCTGCCTGATCACAATAGTTTCGCTTGGCTTCATACGAAACAATTCAAAATCATGTATCAAAAGATTAATTTTTGAATCTTTAACTCTACTAGTGCCTTCGTGTGTGATTTCAAGAGTGTGTTAAATGTCATGCGCAGTTTGACAAATAAAAATACGATTAAATTCATTTTTGTCTAAGGCGCAAAACAAAGCATTCATAACATTGGCATTCAAAGAGAAAGTCCTCTTCTCCAATTCATTCATTCGTTCATTGGAAGAGAAGACTTTTGAAATCCATTTTCAATGATATTCTATAAATCGAGGTTCAATAAAAGCAAGAAAACTCTTATCCGAGTTTTCTAATAAGTGTAGTCCTCATGAAAGCCGAAAACATATATTTCTCTTGGGTGTTAAACCAAATGAGAATAAACATGACTCTAATACCAAATGTTAGGACCAAGTTAGCATTAAGAGAGGGTGGGGGGGGGCGGGGGGGGGGGGTGCACGGGCGGGTGGGTGGATTAGTGCTTACGTAAAAATTACGTCGATTCCGAAATCTTCGTACAAGAAAACCGTATCAAAGAGTGTTTAACTTTGAAAATGTTTGTAAGAGTGTTCAGCTAAAGCAATAAGGAAATAAAGTAGTTTCCAATAAAGGTAAATAGTAAAACAAAAATACAAACTAATTTATAGTGGTTCGATCATCGTGATCTACGTCCACTCCCGATTCCTCCTCCGTTGAGGCCACCGACATCCACTATCAGTCTTCCTTCAATGGATGAAGACTAACTACCCTCTTACAACACTTTCTCCTTTTCATAGGTTTAGGAGATAACCTTTACATGTCACTCTTTTACAAGTAGTCCCTTACACACCTTCTTTAGGACTAACTCTAAGCACTAGGAGGAGGGAACTCAAAGTTTTGGTAGAGTTTACTCAGTTTTTTCCTCAAGATCATCAACTAAAAATCAAAGAGGGAGACATTCCTAAGACTGCTTTAGTGATGCCTTTTGGTCTAACAAATGCATTAGTTATTTTTATGAACTTAATGAACAAGACATTCAGGGAGTATTTAGACAAATTTATAATAGTTTTTATTGATAACATTTTGATATATTCGCACTCTGGAGAAACATGCCAAACATTTAAGAATAACTTTGAGTATCTTGAAGGAAAAATAATTATATGTAAAGTTTAGGAAGTACGAATTTTGGTTAGAGAAGATAGCTTTCCTTGAGTATAACATAATGTACTAAAGGAAAGAATCTCAGTGGATCTATTTAAGGAAGAATTAGTTAGCAATTGACTTGGATTAACTAATGTAATTAAAGTAAGAAGCTTATTTGGGATGACATGTTACTATATATGTTATGTGGATAGATTCTCTAAGTTAGTATCACTTCTCACCCAATTGTTAATAAAGAATATTAAATTTGAATGGATTGAGATTTGTCAAAATAGTTTCCAAGGACTAAAAAGGAGATTGACTTCATCTCCAATTCTTGTGGTACCATTTAGGTTAAAATGATTTATGGTGTATAGTGATGTATCCAAAAATGGCCTAGGGTGTGTTTTGATACAAAATGGCAGAGTTATAGCTTATGCCTTAAGACAGTTAAAACCTTATGAGAAAAACCACCCAACCCATGATTTAGAACTAGTAGTAGTGTATTTGCCTTAAAAATTTGATGACATTATCTTTATGGAGAAAAATATGAAATATACACTTATCATAAGAGTTTGAAATATCTCTTTACCAAAAATGATCTGAATATGAGGTAGAGGAGATAATTGGAACTAGCAAAAGATTATGATTTTATGATCAATTACCATCTTAGAAAAGTAAATGTAGCTGTTGATATATTGAGTAGAAAGTTGGTTAATTTAGTTTCTTTATCAATGATTCCCAAACCTCTTTATATTGAAATCTAAAATTTTTAATCAAAATGATCCTTAAAAGTTTAATTGGGAGATTAGCGGTGCTATCACTATAGCCAACCCTTTTGTAAATAATTAAAGAGTTACAGGTTAATGACCCTTATTTGAATCGATTAAAGTCTGATACTGAAGGGTAATTCGATTACGAGATAGATTATGTGTACTAGATGAGCGTGGCCTAATGCAACAAATTTTAATAAAGGCACACTTATCTCTATACTTGATACATCCTAAAACAACCAATATGTACATGGATCTAAAAGAGCACTATTGGAGGTCAGGAATAAAGAGAGATGTGATCTAATTTGTTGAGGTGTGTCTTATATGTCAACAAATTAAAGTCGAACATCATAGGCTAGCAAGTAACTTAAGACCATTGCGAATACCCAGTGGAAATGGGAAGAGGGCATCATGGATTTATCTAAGACCAGCCAGGGATATTATGGAATTTAAGTCATTGTGGATAGATTGACAAAGATAGCTCACTTCCTACCTATTAGTGGTAACTATTCCATAGATCAATATGTTCAATTATATATCGACGAGATAATTAGACTCCATGATGTATCAGTGTCTATTGTGTCAGATAGAGACTCTAGATTCATGTAAGGATTTTGGAAGAGTCTACATAAGGCACTAGGGACAAAATTAGCATTCAACACTGTTTTTCATCCACAAACAGATGGTTAAAAAGAAAGAATCATTCAAATATTGGAGGATATGCTAAGAGCTTGTATCGTGGACTTTAAGGGGTCATAGAGTAAATATTTATCTTTAGTTGAATTTGCCTATAATAACAATTACCAAGCAACCATTAGAATGAT